AAATACTTCATAGAAACTTACCCCATTTATCAAAACTAGTGATGTTTTTATATTAACCTCATCCAACTTGGTTGCGCATATATGAACTTAAGAAATAAATCAGATTGAAAGTTTGCTTAGATTTTAACAAGAGATGAATGATCTTATTCGTTTTTAAGTTAAAAATATTTAGTTTATATTGCAACTTAATAATCTATATAATGATTAAATGACTCACCTACATTATTTAATATAAATATATTTTGATGAAGAGAGTTAAGATTANATATTATTACATTAATTTTTAAATTTTAATATGAAAAATTTAAGTATCTAAATTATATATAAGCTTATATTTTTTAAGATAAATAAAATATTTATGGCTTGTTAAATGCTTTAAAAATATTAATTTTATCTACAATCAATAGATCAAAAAGAAAATTTTTAAGTAACTTACAACATATAATTAAAACTTTTTAAAATAAACTACAGTTTTATTATCTACTAGCGCTTCTGTCTAGTCATTGTGAGACATTGTGATCTTAAGGTAATTAATATTTTTTCCGAAACAAGAAAATGCATAATTTAAATTATTAAGTTTATATACCTTATAAACATATTAAAAAGTAACCATAATAATTTTTCCTTTATTTTATAATTAATTAAATTAAAACAATTGTTTATATAAAGTTTATAATTGTAAATAAAACGTCTCGAAATTAAAATGATTTAAATTCTTTTATTTTATGAATATTCGGAATGTTAAGAATAATTGAATCTACATGTGTTATATATAATTCAATAACGTTATAAATATTTAATTTTAGATAATAATACTTAAAGATACGATTTTATAAAGAATTTAAGATTTAAATGGATTCTAGATCTGTTCAGAATATTAGATTTTGAATATTTAATCGTGTAATGCTGATTACAACACATTTATTAATACAACAGATTAATCTTATCTTAATGAGCAATTTTAAATATTATAACTGTACACGCAGGACTTTAATGTAATATTATAAACAGTAAAACTTTCCTGCGAGATTACAGTTACGACTTGTAGATACTTAGACCTACGTATAAAAATTTATTGGTATTTAAATAAAATATAATGGTTTACGTAAGAAAAATGTAAATATCGATTAGTAATTTAAACTTGGATGCGAAAAATGATCTTTAAAAAAAATGAATGAAGAAATAGCAAAGTTGCTATCAGATTATAAAATGATGACTGTCATTTTATTCTCCCTTCGACTATCATCAAGACTATGAAATGATTTTAAAAGAATACTTTTCAGATATTAAAATCTCTCTCTCACACGTTACAAAATGGCAACTGAAACAATTTGTTCTCGTACTTCAGGCATTAATAAATGCATTTTATAGAAATTTCGCTTAGCGTGTGATATAATATTAAAATATTCTCGATGTTTAATGTATTTTTAAGGAATGATATCCCGACTAAAATACCTTATACGCCAATGATACTCTATATAACCTCATTTTAAATGTTAAATGTTCTTCGTTTCTTTCCTCACTTTCTATCTCATTTTATTTTATTTTTGTAGATGAAACAAAGACTCAGTTTAATTATATTTAAAGTTTAATTTCAGAATTCAATAAAAATCAGCATTTCGTATTGAAAATTGCTTTTAAAACTGTTAATCATGCTTAGAATTGATTGGTTCGAAAACGATTGCCTAAAATTATACATTTCAAAGGTACAGTACAATACTCAAAAACTTAATATACATTTACTTATTGTATATTGGTTTCATGTCATGTTATAAGCATGCATTTAAATTAATCTTACAACACACACTTAATGTATGTTTCGAGTGTGAATAATCGCATAAATAAAGACATTTACAATTTATCAAGTTGAATTTATGTAAATAGCACAAATTCGATTACTCGTTTTAGTTACTCTTTTGGTTTAACAAACCGTAAAAGATATTAAACAGGCAAATTATTTGGTAAACACATGTCAGATTTGTCATCTTGAGGTAACACATTCATAAACGAATTTAATAGGAATAACACAGGATAAAAAGCTTTTATGTAAAGCTCTAAAATTAATCCTGTTGCAAAAGTAAATTGATCGAACATCAAACAGCATTGGGACTATAAGTGGGATTTAACATTACCGGATGAGATTGGTGTTTTCCTATTTGATCCTAAATACACCACAGAGTTTAGTGTCAAGAACCTTTAAAGTATTCCCTAATCGGGAAAGTAGGGACATCTAGCGAGCGATTGGGAAACCATCTGGGACTCCCATCAAGCCAAACATTCACGAGAATGTATGAGGACTTTACCGAACTCGAACCTATTTTCGAATAAGTTTGTCACCAGACTTGAGGATTGCTGCGAAAAATCTCTATTTCTCTCTGTATTTATATATATAGAAATTGACAATATTGAGAATATGGACTTTGAAATGCGACTGACATAATTTTATCCGGATAGATTGTCGTGAATTTCTAACAGTTTTCTCTGATAGGGAATATCGGAATATCTATATACTGTATATATTTTAACTCAAAGTTGACTATATTGCAATCCGAAAAATGAATAATTTATATTTTTTAATATTGTTTAATAATCAACAAATAAATTCAATTATTTTTAAAATTCAAGATCGTTTTAGGCTATAGTGAACAGTCAACTTTTTATAGTCTTTATAATGTATTACATATGATAAGTAGGAAAATGACAAAAACTTCGTGTTTAAATTAATGATAAAATGTATTAAAATGACGAACAAGCAATTAAGATTTTATATATAAAGTTTAAAACAGAAATTTTATTTTACAATTTTTTTATAAAAACTATAAATTCGTTTTAAGTGTAGAGTTTTAATTTATTTAAATGATTTTTTTTAATTTACAAACTTTTATTTAGCAAGTTTCTTAATATATTTACATGCATTGATACAAACTTTCACAGATTTAGAAAAATCATAATTTTAATCGCTAGAACTTTACAAATGATAGAAACAATTAAAATTAAATAATTAATATTTATAATGAGAAATTAATAATTAAAAATCATGACTGATTAATGTTGCATAATAGAATAATTAAATGAAATTTTTAGTAATATTTTTAAAATAACAGACTTCTTAACTTTTATAATGAGTTGGAAAAAAGGATATAGTTTGGAAGAGAATTTGAAAATTATAGGCCTATAAAATTATCCAAGCTGCAAAACGTTTATTCTAATGTATTTAAAGAATTTAAGTTCAGTTTAAAATGTTAATAAGACAAGACTGGCTCAATGTTGTAAGTTTTGACCTAAATCACTACTTAGTAACAAGTGACTTACTTATTAATCCAGCATTATTCGCAGTTTTTTAATCAATTCTAACAATAAAACACTAAGCCATTTATTAAGAATAATTTAATTCTTACCTTAACGCAAAGAATTAAGAAATTAATAGAATAAACTAATTTTTCAAATTTAATTCAAGTTAAAAAATTCATATGTTTATGTGAAAATATTTAGTACACAAATCATGTGTTTCTAATGAATGAAAGTTAAAAATAAACTGAATGTTTTTAAAAAATAATATTTGAAGAATTTTTTTTAATATCTCAAACTGTTAATTATTAAGTATTTAAATAGGTAAAGCTATGTATTCAATGTAAAATAACCAATTTATTATTATATAGCCTTAAATGACCTGGACCTAAATAATTATGAAAACGGGTTAGGAGAAGAAAAGGGTTATCTTGTATAAGTTACGCTAAATATTACTATTTTAGAAAGACCTAAAATATTCGATTTTTTCATAATTAAACATAAATTTGACACTAAAAATGTTGAAATAAATAAACTATATCTTATTATATCTAAAGCATTTTAAAATTTTATTTAAATTATAAAATTAAATTAAATAATTTAATTTTTAAATCGATTTATAGAAATTTAAATTTAAAAAAATGATAAACGGAGACAATTTTTAGTTATTGCGTTTATTTTTATTAAATAAATTATAAAACATTTTTTAAAAAATAATTGAAAAACTTTATTAAAATGAAACATTTTCAGATTATTTTATTTAAATAAATAAATAAAATATTCCTAATTTAGGATTCATGTGAAATAGGATTACACTAAACTTACTATAAAATAGCTTAAGTAAAATAATTCTTGATTAAAGTTAGAAAATATACTCAAAAGTATTTTCAAATAAGCTACGGTATTGTTATGTTGCTCACTTTCTTAAATTATATGCCAATACGTAATCCTGACATTTTATAACTTTACAGCCAGTCAAGATTGAATGGTGAGATATAAGACTATGCAGCATGACATGCATACGAAGTTTATTTTTAAATATATCTATAGTGACTTTAGGGCATTACTTTCTATGCAGTCTCTCATAATAAAAACTGAAGCTTAATTGAGAGATTCAGAAAAGAGAAACTTAAACTGGATGAAACGACATTCGCAAAGTATCATCAACTCCACTGCCTCTTTTATAGGAGAACCATTAAGTGCCACTAAAACTTAGCCAACAAGACAATAGTAAGCACGTGGTTCTCAACTTTATTTCTTCACATTAATAGATTTTACAATTAGTTTAGTGTTTTACAATATTAATATTAAACGCGATATTTATCGACGTCTACTTCGAAACTATGGACAGCGTTAGTGATTTAATATTATATATAAAAAGAGGATTATATACAGTGTAGAAGAACACATTTTTCTTGTCTAACTCGCTACTCAATGAGATGAAGAGCGAGAGAAAACTGAAAGGTGAATGGGAAAGGGACGCAACCCACCAGTTCCTGAGAAGGGAATAAAACAGATGAGAATGAAACTATCGTCCTCGCAGCCGCCTCTTTCTCACTGTCTCTCCCCACAAGCTGCGAGTCATCATAAGGGCGTTAGGCCTAAGGGCAGCCATTTTGAAATGCACACATTCTATTTTCCACACAAGCATAAATACACGTAATAACATATACGGGGAAGGGAGTTATCTAAAGAAATAATATACGACTTACCGGCTATTGTCATCCATGGGTAGCGGGGCACGTCCGGTATGGGATCTGCTTCCCTGATCGCCAGTTGCGAACAAGACGAGAGCGGAGAACCCAGGTCGGGACTGGCTGGATGCGGTAGGAACTGGGTGGGTGCCATCATGCCAGGGGTAGCGGTGGGACCGCAGTTTGGCAAGCCGAAACTATACCCCGTACCACACATGTCAAGGCCATTTCCTTGACTACTCGAGTATCGACAAGACTTGGCCAGATCTAAATTTGACGTGTAGTAAAGATTGCCTGTAACAGCTACTGACGACTGAGGAGACAAGGCTGCGTATGGATACATGCGGTGTTGCGACGGTCCATAGCTAGACAGCGTGGCCGGTGGGGGTACAGGATCACCAGGATACTTGTTCCCCAGGAGTCCGTCCATAAAATTCGTACTCATTTTTACATCATATTTTCTGGAACGTTTTACACCACACTCAAAATAGACTAGCTTTACCACACTTCGTAGATGGCTTCTTACCAGTAATGGCTACGGCAGGGACCAGCTGCCGAGCCCAGCGTAAACAACCCAAGCCAATCAAACGCTTCAAGCAACCCGACGACCAATGAGTAGCTGTTTCCGCTTACGGACCTACTTCCGTCAGCTAGGAACGGTGAGAGATTTTTTCACCGAGTCTTCCTGGCTCTAAGGGGGGCGTACAACACAAACCCCTCAATAATCTTGCAAAACTTTGGGCGTATTCCGACAATTTGTGATCCTTCTTGACCTTCGACCTCCACTAACAGGACCAGTGTGGGAAGATACAGGCAGCTTTTTTACTCTGCTAGCAGCTATCGTTCAGACAGGATTCTGCATATTCATCGCTGGTTTTGCACGGAGTGATTTAATGAACGTATATCCGTTATACTTTCGGAGCGACGTCGATGTGTTGCGTGTGCTTCTGCTCTCTTCATCTCCTCCATTGCTCTCGCTTTCGCTCGCTAGAGAGCGTGGTATGGCGCGCCAGAATGAGAAAAGAGAAAATAAAAAGTGCATGGCGTCAGGAATGTCCTAAAAGCAAAACAAAGATGGCTGCTTCGATAGTTGAATTAATCAAATATATATATATATTTTTTTTATTTTAAAAATTCATCTTTAATTCGTAAAGATGTTGCACGTTTTTAATAAAAAATTTTTAAACTGAAAGTTTATCGAAATTGTTTTTAAAGCAGAAAAACTAGGTTTAAATCACGACAATGACCTAATTAGAAAATATTTGCAAAAATATTAAACTTTGTCAGTTTTCGTTTAACTAATTTAATTAAAAGAAATTCCATAACACTAATTAAGATTAATTTCTTTGATTTATAAATGAAAATTTTATATTATTATTACAAATGAAAAAAGTAATAAATTTACAAGACTTTTTGATAGTAAATTTTGTGTAAACTTTTATATTATTACTATTTAAAAATAAAAATGACGAGTCTATTTACAATATTATACGCGCCGAGTTAATAAAAATTACAACTTCATCGAAAACATTATTAAAATTCGAGGCATTTATCTAAAATGTATTTATCAAATATCAAGACTTCTATTTGTTTTTAATTTAAATATTAAAGTTAATTTAAATGAATGGTTCGTTTTAAAATATCTTATCAACACAGTTTCATAATTCCGTAGAATAAAAATAAATAATAAAATAAACACTATAGTAATATATTACGTTATATTAATTTTTAAAATTTGATATCAAATTTTTAGCAATAATTTTATATAATAAATTTTGATTATGGATACTTAAAACAACGTAAAAAAAACATTTCAAATTAAACATTCTATTTCAGTTGGATAAATTCCAATACATGATAATGATATTGATATATTACTAACTATATAATTCGTTCTAGTTCATATTTTAAAATTCAATATTTTTAAAATATTGTACAGTGTTTTTTAAATAATAAAATCGTTTTTAAGTTTATTATACGTGTTTAGATGTTATCTTAATATTAAATTTCCATAACATTGCGCATTAAAGTATTTAAGTAATGTTTTAGATGGCAATAAAAGATAAATGCCAAAAAGCATTTTCCAAATATAGGAAATTCTATATAAGCCTGTATCTTGTAATAAATGATGAAATGATAATTTCTCTCTTGCCAATCGATGTTTGGAAGAATATCATGGCTTCCTCTTTCTAAGCATTGACTATGCCATGGTGGAAAGGCGCCCTCTGGTAATAAAAGTAGGCTTCATTTTGTGACGTCATTTCCGAATTAATTTTAAAATTTGATTAAAACGTAAATTATCAGTTAAATAAATAACAATAATATAATTTATTTTCTTTATTCCTTTCTATTGAAGTTATTTTTTTATGCTTAAATCCCCAGAACTATATCTGCGAGGATTACGGTCTCTAAGGAAAAAAATTGTTTTTAATAACAATTCTATAAAGAATACCACTTTAATTCAATTCGAAAAAGTCTCTAAATAAATTCGATTTTATTTTTATGATAATTAAATAAATTCATTAAATTTCATTAAAATTTATTTATATATCTATCTAATTAATTTGGTAACGCCTGACACGATTTGAATTAAATCGGAATTGATTTTAAAATTTTCAGACATTTAAATGAATTATTTACTTATTTTGTATTCCGTAATATCAGTTGTAAAAATAAGAAAAAACATGAGAAAAAGAAAACAAATATAAAAAACGAGACAAACGTTTAAAGAATAATAAAAACGAAAATAAAAATTGCATAAAAAGCTATATTATTTATTTAAAAAATGGTGTAAAATTATATTTTATAATAATTTTATATCAA